TTTTAAGAATTTGAGGAACTAATGAAATGAAAGGCTTCAGTGTTGAGACAGAAGTCACCCAACTAAGGTTGTCCAGTGATAACCCCAAAGCAGAGGTTATAGATAGCTGTTTCACAAGAACATACTAATAACTGGTGATCAGTGGTTTACATACCACGTGCACTGACAATGTGCTGAAACACAGAAGGTGTCTTGAATTCTAGTTGAATTATGTAAAAGTTTAATATTTAGAGAAGGTCGATGTGAACAGAAAATGACTTTAAATCACATGGGCTTGGCTTGCACTCTCAGGAGTTGGAGTATGTTTCAACTACAGGTGCTTGAGAGAATTTTTATTTGCATTGTAATACCTGTATTTCACAGATGCTGTACTGACTGTAAACTCACTGTAGAGCATGCAAGGACTCTACCTTAGCAAGATTACTGCTCAAAAGCCATCCTCTTTCTTGCCTGTCCTCGTACTCTGTTGCAAGATCTGTAGGCAGATTATCAATCAGCATAACTCAGTTCTCTCGCTATTTGATGTAGTAGTAGCTGGGGTGTCCAAAAAGCACAGAGAGAAGTTGTAGTGATTGTATTCACTACACTGTACACACTGAGGTATCTGACCTGCATCAGCCATGTAGCCATATTTTGCTAATATTTTACAAAGGTCTGTAGAGTACTGCAAGCTGCCAGGCACATTTTTCTATTAGCAGCACCCTAAACCAGCCATAATGTATTATTACTGCAATAGAGGTAGGCCTTGATGCTCAGTGAGAAAGGTCTATCAAACAACCAGTTATTAAGAGTGTGGTACATGGTGACACAGTAGACCACATCTCAAACGTTTGGGTAATGGCTAGAAATAGAGGAGGTGGTGATGTGAATGGTTTAGCTGCTGACACTACTTGCAAAGTGTCTGTAATTGCCAGGTACAGCTCTGGAGGAAGACAGGCAAGCTGAAACTTCCTTTTACATTTGGAGCAGGTAATTGTAAGGACTCCTCAAAGGTGCCAGTGAACTACAAATTCAGGTCTTGTGGACTAAGATGCTTTGCTGTTCTGGTGAGCAGTTTCATGCCCTGTTATAATATGCTGAATGTGGCATCTCCTATCTTGGGGGTCTTTTGGTATTCTGGATTTTAACAGCCATCACAGCTCTCTGTAGCTGTCTTTTCAGAGCTCTACAAGAGGCTTCCAAGGGCACTCTGGTAACCACCTGGCTTATTTTGCCTAGTTTTTATTCATCACTAGCACGTGCAGATCCCTTCCACAAAGAAAAAGGAGTTCATTTTCCACAGTCTGTGGACATTTGTCACTACACTTGCAGTGCTCTAAGTAGATAGCCTTAATTCCTGAAGTAATTGATCCCTTTAAGAGGGTCCATATATTTACGCATGTATTTATTTTTCCTTAAAATTATGTAATTAACAGCAGTCCTGAGTTTGAGTAATATAGCTTCACTGGGAAAGTAAGTTGCAAGACGAATAAGATTTGTAAGAATCCATTGAGGACTAATTCTAGTAATCTCATTAGGGGTGATACGATCAAAATAAACACATGCACAAATCTCTGTAGAATTTCTGCCGTTGTTCTGATGTTTATGATAAGAACCAAGAGAACTTGCAGTCTATTACAAAATTGTTAGCACATGGCTAGCATAATGGCCCAATGATAAAAAGGTGATTTGTCTTTTGATGGAGATGCTGTAACTAAGCTGTGTTCTCAGGTCTAGTGTGGCAGACATAAGGCTTTGTTATTCCTAACTTTGATAGCGACATCAGAAAAAGGTCCCTCCTGTTTTTGGATATCAAAAGAAGATATGGCTGCAGGTATCAGAATGACCCACCTCTTGCAGCTGGATTGCCAAAGACTGGCACCTTGCTTCTCCCTTACACTACCTGCCCTGCAAGTGGTCTTTCTCCCATCTTGACCTCTTTGAGTCTGTCTCAAAAGGCAGAAGAGCAATAGAGTTATTAGGTGTGGGGAAAAAAAAAAAAAAAAAGGGATACTTGGGCAGAACTTGACCCAAGTTGTACTCAGGGACGAGGGGCTGAGATGTGTTCCCTGTAAGGCACTTCACCAGGCACCTCATCAGGCACCAGTGTTGCCAGGTTATGAGGCAGGAGTGTATTTTTCCCTGGGGTCACAATCGAGCATCCTTACAGTACCAACAGGCTGCAAAACACAGCTCACAGTTCCATACTAACTACACAACTACCACAGCCGTCTTCCTACACATGATGTAGCCACAGTCATGGATCTCTCGGCTGAAGAGTTGTCAAGATAGATTTGCATGCAAACACACCATGCAAATGTTAGCTCTTTCTCACTACAAAATTAACATGAATTAGATATCATTCAATCAGGAAAATGAAACAAACCAAATGTGTGGAGTTCAGATCCTAGAGGCTTGAGTCTAGCTTAGGTCACTGGTGTCAGGCATCACCTCACTCTACAGTGAGGAGGTCTTCTTTTGAATGTCCAAATACAGAAAGCTCATCTTATTCACCCAGCTGAGCAAGAGGAAAGTCTGAAGGTCAGCTAGTTGGGTACTCAAGAGGTTCCACCTGTTGTCCTTTTTGTAACAATGAACAATGAGGACTGTGGTCATTCTCAGCCATGCAAAAACATCTGTATGGTCCTGATGGACAACTGTATCAAAAAATAAATCCCACAATACAACTGGTCTAACAACATACATGCATCTCCACACTTGGTTCCAAATGACACATGCTCTAAAGATGAAATACTGCCTATATATTCAGATAAAGATATGGTGAGCTATATAAATACTAAGAAAATCTGAAATGTGCTTTATAAAGAGCACACAACACATATGAAAGCTTCTGAAGATGGACAAACACTTGTTTTGACACCACTTGCAAAGTGTCAATAAAAAAATCCCATCAGTCCAAAGAAAGATCTAGAACAGAACAGTTTCTTAACTCATACCCTTTTTTTAAATATCCATCCCTTCTCACAATCCCACTATTTCCTTTTTTTCCTGAAATGTATTTCAAGATTTCCATTAATACAAAAGTGAAAGTCACTGGGCAAGAGCATACCCACCACTGTCCCCAACTCACCTACTTCCTGACTACTTCCAGTAGTCCAAGTGTAAGCATTTCCTGTCAGGCCATGAGCATTAGATCTCTGGGAAGACAACTAGCCATCTAACAACAAGTTAAACACCATTAAAAGATGTGCAGCTTAATATTTTACCAGTACATTAAGGGCTTCATAAAAATGTAAGTTAAAAAATATACCTACTTCCATTATTATTTTGACTGAACCCAGTAACCTAAGGATAGTATTTCTTCTGTTAAATGTAAATGTAATGCTTCAAGTACTTGAAGTCCAAAATCCAAGATTCCTAGAAGTATTATGAAAGTATCTGAAAGTTTAAAAGACTGCAGCATCAAACATCACAAGATCAAGCACTTGTTAGCTTATGGAACACAAAAACTATCAACAAAAATGTTCCTTTGACCAACTCAGAATGACTTCCTGAGATACAGCCCAGAAGACATGAAGATGACTAATATGGATACATTTTGAGAGCTTTATGCTCAAGGAAAGTCTGACAGATTGGGGAGGATTTAAATTCAGGCTAACGAAGAAAACCTGCAAAATTATATACTTCCTTGTTACAATGTCTGCTCTGACACCAAAGTTGCAAAAATCAGGTTTCAGACAGGTAGCTGAGACAGCATGGGCATTCTCATTCTGCAGTGGAAGATGGCATCTGGTTTTGTAGTGACCAAGTGCTCAACTCTTGCCCGCTCTGTAAAATTTATTGTGGAGAACTGCCCTGTCACAGACAGTTCAAATACATTGTAAAATCTCAAGCTTGGAAAGTGAATTAAAATGAACTTTGAGGAAAAGATAGCTAATTATTTTTTCTCTAATGCACACTCTTATTTAAATCTGAAGTTACTGGTATGTATTAATAATGTCCAAGCACAAATTCTTTGACTTTTGTAGTTAGCATAAAATCTGCCATGCAACCCACAATTTTCAGGAACAAAGGATGTGATCATATATGATCCAGCCTTGTATTTTCATTTCTCTTATTTCTATATGTCTGTGATACATTAATGTGTAACATCACAATAGTTGCAACACAGGTGCTTTGAGCATCCAAAAGGAAATCAACTCTAGAAAACATAAGTAAAAAGAGGTTTCTTGCAAGCAAAGGAAATGAATAAACGCCCCTTCACAGGAAGCACTGCTGTGCAATCAAAGCCATCTTCTGTAAAAGCAAAAAGGAAGCAGGATAAAACATTTAGTTTCAAATTAATAAATAACACTATTTAGATTTTTGGAAAAACGGGAAAGATTGTAGTAATTGAGTTAGACCCACAGTTTAATTGCTGTTTTTCAATTGAGTATTATAATAAATTTCAAAAGATGGTAACATTCTACAACCATCTTTGATTCACCAAAACTGGTATTCCAAAGGGAATCAGAGGGGTTTTTTTTCTTTAAAAAAAATACTACTAATGCCATTTTCCTTTAGCTTTAATGATTTCTTTTTTATTTTTGTAAGTCAAATGAATCAATATATTGGTATTCCTAAATCATCCATCTTGCATTTTGATGAGTTAGTCTACTGTCATTGTTCTCAGTTGTGAAATTTCAAAGTCTCTTTGGAATACTAATTTCATATCTATAGGTTTCAATTTTTTTATTCCATCCTATTTCCCTGAATTTTTTCCTCAAGACATTTGCTAATGTAAAATTTAATATAAAATATTTAGTCAGAAAATAGTATTGCTTTTATGCACATTGTGGTAAGATTATTTTTTTCCAATAAAAACTATACCATCTTCATAAAATCCTAAACATAGTAAGAACTGTGATGCAGAACAAAATTACACAGGGTGAAACAGGTACCAGCACAACAGTGAGATTATATTACATCAAAAAATTTTAATGGTCCCAAATATATACTCAACAACTAAGCATACACTCAGGGGGGCAAAAAAAATTATGACACAAAAGTGACCACATCTAGAATTCCACTCAATCTTTAATCAAGAAGGGACAAACAAATCCCCCACTTCCAAAAAAAAAAAAAATCTGCAGTTTAAAGGGCAAAGGGAACAGATTTAAAAAAAAAAAAAAAAAAAAGGAAGCTTTATATTCAGCCCTCCCCCGTAGAGGTTTTTAAAACCTGTTGTAGCTTGACTAAAATGTTCAGAATGTACGATTTCAAAGGCAGGTCTCTTTTATACAAAGAAACTGCTGGCATTCTTAACTAGTGAAGAATTATGGCAAAAACTGCCTTTTCTTCAGAAGTCTCATACATGGTCCAAGAAAGCATATTCTGATTGTAGCAACTGACCAGCCAATCCAGAGTTCCGCTAACAAAACTCCTGCCCTGTTGGCTTTTTTTGTTTGTTTTCCATTTCCTTCCCTGAGAAAAGGGCAACGTGTGGTCCAAGCTGGAGATCTCAAAGGCATAAGTCTTTCCCCTATGCGAAATATTTCCCCTTCTTCTGCTTCTTTGAATTGGCACTTGATTGGCAGAAATCTGTTTGTATAGGTTGATCTGTGTCACACACAGTAATTCACAAAAGATTGCTGCTTTGCTGTGTGTTTTTTGTTTTTTGGAAAAAATGTCCTTCCCCCAGCTGGTACTGTTCTTCAGCAGTTGCCATTATGATGACTCCAGCTTTGCTTTCTTTGACAAAGGTAAAGTTTCCTCCTTATCTTCATCTTCATCATCTTCTTCATCATCATCAGGATAATCTACAAGCCCAACGAGGCCTCCCTACAAAGACAGACACAATTAATTAAGAAAATGTTTGCACATTGATAATTTATGTCTGTATTGGAAAATTATGTTTGCACTGACTATTGCCATAAGGGTACTGATTCATGAAGCTTTGAATAAAATGAAACAAAACAAAAATAAATCCTTTAGTATGAATGAAAATTATATTGTCTGAAAAATGTTTAAATGAATAAATCTAAAATGGGGTTTTACCTATCCAACTGGATAGAAATTTTTCTTGTTGCAATACTCGGCTACAGCTCTATCTGTAAAGATTTAAATTTTATTTTTAAGGAGCACGCTGACTGCAGCAACGAGCAATCTGGAAACACTTCAGAAACAAATACAGAATATCCTTCAACTTGAATTTTTCAGTTATGATACTTTTAGAACCAGTCTGTCTTCACAAAAGCTAGTTTAAATATGTAGTAACTTTACTATTTTTTTGTATAATACAGCTGAATGAAGTGTACAGGTTACAAAATTTAAACTACCTGGCAACTGAAAATGAAAGCGTATTTATTAATATTAAAAACTCCCTTGTACTGCACATAACCACAAATTTTAAGATTACACAGCTCCACGCCCATGAAGTGGCATGAACTTCAAAAACTTCCTCTAACTACAGTACATGGCAACTTCTGAAGCTTAACCAGCATCTGACTACAACGGCAGTTACTGGTACTTCACTCAAAGATCGTACTGATGGGCATCCAAACCAGAAAATTTCAGCCAACTATATACCAAAATACAGCTCCATAAACAATGACACACATTCTGTACAGTCACATACAACATGAGTATACTATGCATAAAACAACAGGATCAGATAATCACTGAAAAACCCGATTTCCACACTGCTTCTAGTTTGCGACTGTGGCACACTTATAAACCGTGTATGTTACACTGGAAGAAGGTAACTTATGCCCGAATCCACGAATGGTTTTTCAGCGCACTGCACATTCAGTGTAACCTGAGCATTTTTCTTTTGCCACCACAACTTGAAATTTTGGAGCCAACACTATATGCAGTATGTTCCATATGTAAAGACTCCATTTCAGATCCAAGGAACTATACTGTCTGGGACAGAACACGCCTCCAGCAGAAATACAGAATAAACTGAAGTAAATGACAAGCCAATTCTACCCCTTTTAAAAAGTGCTGGACTAACTACTGTATTTTTTAAATAAATGAAATAAATCTGTTTCCCCTTCCTCCACAGAAGGAATCAGAGGAAGTGTCACTTAGTTCTTCCATCCGCCAAACTCTTCTCACTGAGGTGTTTTCAACAGAAGGTAATCCAAACACAAGTCACCTTTGACTACAAGAAAGAAAAGAAAACCTGAAACCCCATCTGCCTTTACTAGAAGTTAGGTGAAACAGGTAGTATGACAGTATTAAAAAAAAAAAAAAAAAGGATGAATCAAAGCTATTCTGAGGTCACCTGAGAACTGAGATATGCACCTGACCTTTCAGAAATGGAAACATTTGTTACAAAAGTAAATTCTCATGATCTGAACTAAGGGGTACCAACACTACCTTATCTGTGCCCCAGTGCTGAGAAAACACCAGTCACTTTATTTCCCTGACTTGGTTTAAATAGAGTTTTAGCCAAAAATCTGATTAAATCCAACAGTGTCCTAAAATGCATTTAAAAATGCTGGGTTTGGATATTCACTGCAAGTTACACTAACTCTTTTAAATGGGCTTGCTTCTTTTACTTCAATATGTTCCAACCCAAAACTATGTTAATTCAAAAGGTAAAAAAGTAATGCTAGGATATTAAAAATTGTTTACATTTTGGCTTACAACAACCCCTCCATAACACAAGTTATTTATTTCACATGCACCAGTTATATAATTCTGAACAATATTAAAAATGGTAACAGTAGAAATTCACAATGGGGGTGGTGGGACATCATGGAGTCTGTCAAAATTTGTCAATGTTTCTGAAGTATTTCTGTATTTCTACCTGCCAAACATCTCTCTGCAATTTAACAACAGTACAGTGTTGTCTGTATTTCCCAGTAAAGATCACTGCAAAGAGCAGCTAGTTGAATGCTTCATACTTTAAGAATTTGGGCATTAAAAGAGTCTGGGCTCTTACTTTTTTTTTTTTTAATATATATATACATGTCAGATCTCCTTGAAAATCCTGAAGGCCAGACAAAAACTACACGCAAACCAGACAGTCCATCACTGCTTAACATGTCAGAATTCACACAAACCTGAAAGATATGCTAAAGTAAATTCCTAGTCTGTAACAATGAAGTCAACCGATGTCCATTCAAAATTACCTTAGTTGTAATAGCTGCCATCTGAGATGTGCTTTTAGAAACTGATCCTGGAGACCCAGGGGACCCTGGGGATCCAGGAGACCCTGGGGATCCAGACAGATTACTGGCAGATGACTGGCTGGTAAGGTTAGATTTTGTACCACTGGAAAAGGAAAGCTTGAAACTTGGGCTCTGACGACCTGAAAGGTTAGTTTTCAGAAGAACCTCCTTTTCTTCACTCTCTTTTACTGGAAAGAAAAAATAAACACAAAAAATCCAGAAGTATAGCAATATTACTGAGCAAAACATTTTGTTACAAATCATTTTACTGTGTGGGAAGAGGCTTAATACTTTATGTACACCTTGGTGAAGTGAGTCATCACAGACTTCTTCATACTACTACATATACTACTATACCACCTGGCAGCTGTTGTCATCAGCCAGGAATGAACACTTCCATTCTACCAATGATATCACCTGAATATTTACATTAGGAATTTTGAATTATAAACCTGAATAAAATACAGGAAAACTTGACTATCAGCTAAGATTGCTGATTACTTAAAGCATTTGAATTACAACAATATTTTGTATCACTCTACTTCTACAGACAACAAAACTTGTTTTGAAGGGGTGATCCACCAGCTTGGCGTCACAATTTCAAAATCTAAGAGCTTCAGAATAAATAGATGCAAATCCTTCATTACAGTAGGACTAAAGAATACAAGTTATGGCTTCTACATAAGCTATATGGCATTCTTCTTCTCATCACTTACATTTTTTCCTTTCCATGAATTTACTGATAGGGTCCATAATATCTTCATCATTTTTAGTTTTGTCAGAAGGGGGCACCACTGCCTCTCCATCTTCCATATCATCTTCATCAGTATTAAACCACATTTCCTCCTCATCCTCCAGGGTTCTTGCATCCCTTCTGTATCTATGGTTTCTCAAAATGGAGCGCATGCTGCAGAACAGTAAGTTTTAAAACTTTTGATTCAGAAAACAACTTGTATTAATAACAAAACTTCTATTCAACATTTACACTGACAGCTTACAGATACAAATATTGTAGGAGCAGTAAAAATATCAGCACATCATTCTGTAATGTGAATCTTTGTATTTCCAAAGTAAATATAATTAAAAACTCTTATTTGTAAAGGACCAAATAAAGTACAACTCTGCTGCTGATAGCACATTCAGACTACTCGTCTAAAATTCTGTAGCTTACAAAGAGCACTATTAAAAGTAATTTTAATAAATGTCACTAAAGTATTGCATTCAGGCTTGGTTTAACAGTTTGCACTGATAAGTTGTAAAACAAAAAGCATAGAAAATACAGACTTTTTTCCTGAAAATACTTTATAACTCATCATTATCTGGGGTCGAATGTGTTAAAGAAATAAAACCTACCAACCCAAAACCTAACTTAAATATGACTCCAGTTTAAAATAGATACATTAGAAAGACAGCTATCTCTTTCTGCCACATCCACCTGTTAAAATTTTTGGTCAATATTGAGTATTTGCCATTCTTCAGGGCCTCAGATAAAAAGTGCTACGTCTCCCTCCCCATTTGATCTATTATTAGTGTTGGTCTAGTTCAGCTCCACTTTCCTTTTCTTTTTTCTCACAGCAGCAGTATTACAGCCTTGGAGGGCAGGGACAGTGATGTGCACCCTGAGGAACAGGGGGAAAAGTGGAGGAGAGGTTGAAAACACTCCTTTCATTACTAGATGTTGATTCTAACAGTCAATTTCCAACAAAAGTGTGAAACCTTTGACAAATTTTCGGTAGCGCTTGTTCAAAATTTACTGGCCACAATGTAAGTCTGAAATGTAATGTTTTTCATAAAGCCTTTGCTACTGGAATAAAAAATGTTAATACTACAATCTGAGCTTATTCTATTTAGAGAAAAGGTCTTACATTACAGACTTCAAGAAAAAGCCAGAAAGGAAAAATTAGGAAATTACAAGGTATTAAATAAGAACACTAAATGTACTTTTAAAAATAAATCTAAATCTGAATAATTTGCTTGCCAAGACTATCATCTGGATCTATACATAATGCATCATTTTATATTGCATTTAAATTCCAGTTCTGCTCATAGTGCAAAGCTATTACTTAAGCCACACTCTTCTGAATACTTTTGTGGCCCATATCAACAAAATTTTTGCCCTCCTTCCTTACTGAACTATTCTTTGCTAAAATGTGTAAACAGATTCTTTTTATTTTTACATTTTATTAGGTCTGGGGTTTCACTTAAGAAATTACATAGACTGTGACAGGGCTTGTGCAGCCACTATACAAGACGTACGAAGAAGGTAAAGACTGAGCTGGTTGAGCTACAAACCTCTTGAAGCTCTGTTGGATAAACTCATGCGGCGCAACTATACACAATCACTTAGTTCAACTTAAGCCAAGACTGATGTTTCACTTATTATACTGAATGGGCATTACTGAAGGAAGCAGCTGGGTGTTCTTTCCAACACATGCATTAGTGTCAGAAATGTAGGCTTGACTTTCACAGCTGTTTAACTGATAAGCTTACCTGAAAAAATAACATCATCTCACCTGTAAAACATTAGTGCCCAGAACTACAGATCCCACACATAACCAGTATTTAAATTTTTTCAAGAGTAAGAAATATCATGTCAGGAAATAAAATAACTTAAAAGTCTGAAATTTCAAGATGTCCTAGTATGACTAATCAGTATTAATTTTTCCACGTGTTTTCAAACCAACTCAAGACAACAGAACAGGAACAGATCTTGCTAACAGGTTCTTAAGAGTCACTCATCTATTCACACATGCAGTCCATTTTGTTTGAATGAAACTACACATAAAAGTAATACCATTTTCCAAAAAAATAAATGGAGTAGAAAGTCTACAATTCCTATTTTTGTACACCCTAACCTTTTAACCTACAGTGACTGCGTAGTAAGGAAGGGAGCTTTTGCTCTAGCAAGCAGGAGTGATTCAAGTGTTACATCAGTTTGTTTTTTACTCCATCAGCAAATCTACCAGTGACATAAAATCATCCTCTGAAAATGTCTTTGTATATTCCCAGTCATTTTGGTAGAGCTTATCTAAATATCTACTCCCACAACTAACTAAAATAAAAGGAAATCTGATATGAATTTTTGAAGGAAAATCCACAGAATGGTAATTCACAACTGAACAATCTTTTGAATCAAACAGTGGAAATCTGTTATTTAAGAAAATGAACTTCAGTTACTTGATAGGCTTCCAACCTCATTACAATAGCGTATATAAGTTCAGGATACGACAACTTCGCATTATTACTGGGGGTCCAGCGACTAAAGTTAGCTGAAAGCTGAACAAGAGTTTGAAGCAACACATCTACAAATTAAATTTTTAATCAATTAAATTCAACAATGCCTGACATGCAAGCAGGACCAAATTATTTACATTTCCCATTATTACAGAACAACCTAACAATATTCCCAAAAATAGAATTAAAGCACTAATATACTAACAAGAGCATTTAGTGCATTCTACCTGTCAAGTTTTGGATTATCTTGTCTTTCCCTTTGTTGCTCAAATCGAAGTTTCAGTCCTTTGAATGTTTGCACATAATCTACATCTTCCAGTGCCTTCCAGTAATTTTCAATTACATGAGCTGTTAATGATTTTATATCTTCCTACAGGAACGAACAAACATAAAGTGACTTATTTTCATTCAAATGAATTTCTGTAACACAATATAAAAAGTAACTAAGATTCATTTTAAACATTCCATAGGAAGCATCATATTAATTAGTTTATGCAAAAATTAGTATTATGCATATAAGCGTAGCTGAAAATCTAGAGCTTCAAATATTTGATTATCGAAACAGGCATAATAATAGCAGCAATTTTCTAGCAATATCTCCTTCAAAACACATGAACAGAACCTAAAACTCAGTTAGGAAATCATATCAAAACCAATTCTAAAAGGTCTTTCCCACTGTAACTTATAAATATGTTTATATTCATAGATTAACTGATACCTGTTGTAAACAGCCAATTAAAAAATGTGTTTATGAGATACAGACCTAGCATTCATATTCTTTCCTCGCTGCAAATAAGTTATTTATGTAAAAATAATTATTCAATGCATTTATTTTTAGGATGAGAAGGAGAAAGATACTTTTCACCAGAAACTAACACCATGTTTTTCCTTTATGGCCATACAGTGCTGGTCAAGGTCCCTTACAAAAAACTCACAACTGTTCTGCTACTTCAGTTTAGTGTTGTGGCTGCCCAAAGGCACTCTAGACAGCTGAGACTAGCACAGGTCTGCATACTGCAGCACGAAAATTGCTCTCGTGCATTGTTTTGGCATTCTTAGCACTGCACAGCCCCTCGAACACACTGCAGAATAAACACTTGAATTACCATCCGCTATGGACAAGCAAAGCAACATAAATCTTAATACACTGGTTATTTTCTTTTTTGATTATATGCTCAAAGGTCACCTCTTATGAATGGTAATGCATCAGTAAAAACAAAAGCACACTTTTTTATTTGATCACTTTAAGAATAAACCTGAATGCAATAAAATTGACAAAAATATTTCCAGTACCAAGTAGTATTCTGGAAATGCAACCTGAGTATCTATGTGAAAAGGAGGATAAGAAAATAAAAGATGATTTATTTCCTCACAGCATGAACTGTAGAATTGGAACACAATCCCACAGACCACTGAAAGACTGCAGCACAAAAGTCAGTGCCACCTATACAGATTAACTTTTTTCATAGCTTGAAAACATTTTTTAAATCAACTCTTCCATGATGATCAAGTCATCTCAGTCTTGAATCCCAACTTGAGTCCCAACTCAAAGAGGAAGGTGATCAGCACAGAAGATTTCCAGAGGTGACAAAGCCTCCTTTTTTCCTTACCCACTTAATCCTCCACGACTGCCTACACCCTAGGTTGGCCCTGCTTATCACATTTACAATCTATACAGCATCTTGTCAGAATCTGGATGCAGACAACAGTGAGGAAACAGTACTGTGCAGACAGCCAAATCGGCATCAATATTTTAAGAGACTCCCCATGGAAGGGACTTGATAGCACTCCACTAATATAATAAAAAAAGACTGATATATCTTTGGTGTATTTCCATATTCTGTTGAATTGACATTACAGAATACAACTAAATTTCATGTTTTTGCAGCAGTAGTTTTCCAGTGATGTTCCTGTTATAACAGGCCCATCCAATCTGCACGATGAAACTTGATTAGTGCTGCCTTTGCAAATCCAGGTACTGTCAGTACACTGAGTATCACGTGAATTTAATTTTCAAGTCACAGTACTGTTTGAATGTAAGAATGAACATGTATAAATATGTAATTGATATAAAAGAAAGTTCACTTAAATACAGTATCATATGGTCATATCACTATGAGACCATAACTTAGGGAACAAGAAAAAGAAGAGTCTTGAACTACAACGGTAAACAATACAGTAATTATCTTCAGTATATAAAAGCACTCACCACTCTGATAAATTCAAACATCTCTATTATGGCAGAGTTCATCAGATTATAACGGGAACCATTATTTAGAAATGCTTTGACCACAGGTTCAAACAAAAAACTTTTCATTATGTAACGGTTGTAGAATTCATCCTTCAGTCCAATTATCTTTCTCTTGAAACGAAGTGCACCTGAAACAGAAGTGTTGTCAAAATAATTTTTAAATTTAAAATAAAAAAAAAAACTCAGAAATTACTCAGCATTAGTTAGGGCAATCTGCAATCTCAGTTCTTATACAGCATTACATTATTAGGACCAGGTAATGCATTCCGCTATTCTCTCCTTCTCAACAGTCTTGACTATACTGCTGAAGATTACTTATATATTTTACCATAAAGAAATCCTCCGTCATAATTGTACAAGTGAAACCACTTGTTTACTGAAGAAATAATATACTACTGTTTAATTATATTACTACTAACATAAAGGTATATTTTTGATTTTTTAAACTACTTATGCCGTAGTTGAACTGGGAAATTTGCTTATCATTCCTATTTTTCAAATGTAAGTTTGATCACATTTAATCATCCTGTGAAATCCTATTTGTTTAGGATGCAAATTATCTAATTTTAAAATTCGTAAATGATATTTTCTTCACAAAGCAAAGACTTAATTTACATCCATTTTAAAAGCTCCTTCTGAAACTCTGAAGTGTACACAAGTACGTGAATGTCCATGCATAAACAGAAAGCATGGTATCATCTCGCTATAAAACAGCACATTTTGGTTAGCAACTAGGTGTACATGAAAAAAGTTTAGTTTGGTTTTAGAACCCTTGAATAAGGTGATTCAGTTATAAATGTAAAAGTTACTTATTGTATAGTACTGCTCAGTCAACTTTAGGCTTTGTTTTGCTCTATGTGCTTGACAGAATTGTGGAAAAAAAATCTCTTACTTGTTTCCAGAATTAAGTCACACTTCTTTGCTATTACTGTGCTGAACATGGTCAAAAAACTACCAGACTTTGAAGAGCAGCACACTGAACTTCCGTGCTGTTCAATGCAGTCAGATAACTGTATCTCTAGTTAAATACCTCTGATAATTTCTACTAAAAAAAAAATTAAAAAATCTAAGCTTACAATGGTTCTCTTGGGATATTCAATACTGAGATACCATCTTCTCAATTCAACTCTACATTGAGATTAAAAAAAAAATCATTCTGCTTTTTAGAAAAGACATCTATAAATGCAAAATTATCTACTAATACTAGCTGACATCTATAAATTGGCATAAGAAACACAAAGTATAACAGTAGAATTTCTGTATTCAGCCACAAATTGTCATGATCTGTGAACAGCTTTCTTCCAGCAGAATGAGGATATGTAACACTTCACTTTTATAAAAGACTAGTTTATTCTTTATCTTTCAAACTTACACAATGCCAAGAAAGCATGCTTTGAGGCCATGAGAACGAGTACTCTTCGCAGGATATCTTTGTTAATGATATAGTTCTTTATGTGATAAGTATGATGTTCTACACAGAAAGTTAGCAATTCCAGTATTAATGCCAAGAGTTGGGCTGTCTGAAAATCATCTGTAATAAAAAAAAAGGAAAATAATTAAATATATGTAGGATATTGCCTTCAGAAGCTAAGTCAAAATATCCAACTGCAGTCTGGTATACATTTTCAAGTTCTTGTGCATCCCCACAGTTAGTTTACGGAACATGCTGAAGTATATGTTTAGTCTTTAAAATAAAAACTGAACAAGCTTGTTATGGACTGAGTATTTTCTATTTATACAGATATGTCAGGAAACCTTCCTAAACTATAGAAACAATTACATTTTGATTGTCTTAAATCAGTGCTTGAAGGTTCAGAGAATACAGAACTTAACACTAGTGCAAGCAGTCAGGCTTATTTAACCAAATCTCATTATGTCTATAATACAAAATATTGCCCCATATGCAGTACCTTGACCAAGTCTGTACCAAAAATGTGATCTATTATGCCTTTTAACAAAAATAATATGCAAGAAATATCCCAGGCTCTTTTAATACTTCTATGACACAATCACATCAGCATATACAAAACATAACTCAAATCCAGCTTTTAAGTAGACAAATAATAAATTTAACATATGTTAGTTTTAATCTTTTTTTTTAAAAGGTGTGCTACCTTTTAAATAAATGTTGCAAGATTGTTGACCATTAAGGAACACAGGTATTTCAAACAGTAAAAATCTTACTTCCAATCCATCTGGAAGCCAGCTGAAATAGATAATTTAACTAATCCCTTAGAAATCTACACAATAAATTAAAAATTTTAGAGAACATTTATCTATCATTTACATACCTCCTTTTACATCCATTTTGGATGTTATACTATTAATAAACAAAGAGTACTGCTGCTAGTAGCCAGCAAGAACAGTTACTTCATCACTGATCTCTGCTTTCTTAGTCTGATGTAGAGCCAAGACCCTCAAATTCAGCACAGTAATACACAACGTCTCAGTGGCAATTTTCCATCCTCTGTAGTAATCCCTGACTTTAAAAAACATTTATGCACATTTACAAGTCTATGTCACTGAAGAGCCCCATGAGTTACTAAAAATTATACAAATATTTTAACATTTGCTGAAGTAAAAGCTGCAGCAAATGCTGTTAAGTTCTTAAATCAGGTCTCTCTGCTGAGTTATATACTTACAAATTATTAAAATGATTAAATAATGAATCAACATTTTACTTTGAACTATGTATCATATTCTCAGATACTCTTTAAGACAGAAAAGGTACTTTGACAGCTATTCTGCTTTAAACACTGACATTCAAGAGCCTTGATGTGCCCAACATTCAGAGCAGCATTACCTTTACTAGGCTTGTCCTCTGTGGTATTGGCCAATAAAGGGGCTGTCAGCACATGCATACAATGTTTGTAGAAGAAACCCAGGAACTCTGTCTTTTCTGTTTTCTGAAGAAAGAAAAAAAATTATATATGTAACACGTATCATCATATACTCTAAAAAACCAAATGTAATTTCATGTGAAGGTATTTACTTACATTGGCAGTGGCAAGCATATTTTCTGGATCAACTAAAGTACGAAGCAAACCCATGAGTAGCACTGCCCCTCCAAGTTCTGGATCTGTGTCACAAATCATGTGTTCTATAATGAGGTTAATGAGTAATATATCCTAATGGGGAACAAAAAAAAAAAAAGTTAAAAAAAATCAATTCTAATGCTACTCCTTTGCCCCAAATATGAAACTATCTTCTAAAAGGGTTACCACCTGGTTAAAAATGTTTCTCTATCAAAATTCTGTAAAAGGTAAACAACAACTAAACTAATAAAGCCCTTTCTTAACAGAAAAAAATTAACTTTACGTGCCAGTGACACATTCTGGTCAGTGGTTCAACAGTAAGAAGGCAAGCAGTGAAAAAGAACCTTTCAAAGCAATTAAAAATGGTTCTGAAATGAATCTAATTTAGAATTAAGTCTGAACTGAAATGTGAAAAGATAAAAAGTACAGAGGCAGATACTTAACAGTCTCAAAATTCAACCGATTTCTGGAAGTGTTTTCAGAGTACAGAAGTTTTAATTTGTATCCCCCTTTAGAAAATATACCAAGAGTTTTATTTCCACAAGCATACACCAGTGATTTTTATCATGCTATCGAACTTGGTAAGATTATTTTCACCTAAAAATAACCTCAACACGTGTGTGCAGAAAACAAGAACAACATATAAAAGTAGAAAATAATATTTACATTTAGGAATCTCTACACTAAAGTTGCTTATTAGCACTGTCCCCCATAGAAGAGGACAGTCATCCAATGCAAAAGGCTGGAACCACCAGCGATACTCCCTGTCCCAGCTGCCCCTTTTTTCCGATACAGAAGTAGCAGCACCAGCAGCTTCCCGTTTTCTGTCACGTTTTTAGCAGATACAAGAAAAAGCATTAACTGAATTCCTCTATGGAAAAGGCAGCATGATGTTTTTTTCCTGACTTTGAAATACCTTCCTTACTACTGGGTGTGTGCTACCATCCTGTATTAATCAGCTACTGAGGATCTTTGGGAAATTTAAACCTCTGCCAAAAACTGTTCTTAAATACTTAGGACCATAATTCCACTTTCAACATGTGTGACAGTAAACTGAACACAGGTTTCTTACAAGTAAATTAAAAACACATGTTCGTGTTAAGATCAAGACTGAAGATTATATTTTGCATTTTAAGAGGTCATCATTCAAACACATTTTGTTTTGTTTGTAAGATAGCTAACCAAAACGGTGGCTTATGGTAACTTGTTTTACTTTACATGCAACCAAACAAGAATATGGGAACAGGCGAATACTCATCTCACCTAACAGAACTTTTAAAAACATGGTAGTTAAGTATCCTGTAACCATCATGACTATATTCCATATTTCTTCAGAACTAGGGCTTGTCATTTCACAGAGTTGTAAATATCAAAGAGTAATTTCAAAAAACAATACACACATATCTGGGGACCCTCTACTTACGTCATCATTCTGCTGCGCTTCCTGCATGACAAACTCTCGTACCATGGATGGGTTGTATTCAACCAAATATGAGAATATATCAGTGGCTGCACTTCGTACTTGTGCATCATCCATACCCTGGAAAAGTCAAATTAAATCACTAATGATTCCTTGGAAGAAAAGGCTTAAATGGAATGAAAACCAGAAAGCATACAGCTTTTAATTCTTACTTACAAGTCATATCTAACTACTACTAAAACTGCATTCTAGAATGAATTGACTCTAACTTCTTCTTTGTACATTTGACAACTGTTGGGCAATATAAATTTTATTGTTTCCCTGCCCTTTGGTCTACTTCCCTGTTTTCCTACTTAATTGTACACCAAGAAGCATGTAAAGACAGAAAAGTAAATGAGAAAATAAAAATATAAGAACACCAGGGCACCTACCAATGCCATATTGTAACTGCTTTTAAAAGCTGTACAAAAATATTTTAAATGTTCTGAATCTCAAGCTACAAGACAACGAAACAAACACCTCAGAAAACCATGTGACTGAAGTTTGGCATACTTACTTTAAAAAAAACCCAACACTCTCTCGAGATAAACAATCATCACAAATAAAATCAGCTGACTCACCAATATGACTTCTAGCGCTGGCAGTATGCCCATATTTGACAAGGTTTTGAAAAATGCATCTCTGTTTTGAGGTTGCAATGTTTGAGAGAATGCACAAAACTCTTTCAGAAAATTTACCTGAAAATCAGGAATATACTGGTTAGTAATTAAAAAAGATGCACATATCACTTTGTTGTAACTGTCCCTTTCATGTGTATTTTACAGATTTCTTACCAATTCCTGTCTTTTCTCCTCATCTGTGGCTTCATCTGTTAGTTGTGCAAACAAGTCTGTCAGAAATTTTTCATCTTCCTACCAAGACAAAACAAAGCCATTTGTTTATTTGACAATAGCAAAAGGCATCCAAGTAAACCATGCCTCCTGCAATGAAGAGAACATATGCTTGTGTGCTGTAGTTAATCATACCAGCATCAACTTTCTAATTCAATTTCCATGGAAATTAATATGAATCTTGTTTTTGAGCTTTTATCATGTTCAACACCACCCCGCCCCCCAACACTTCATTCTCAGTTACTATGTCCATGCCTTGCCTCTTGGCTGTCCTTTTTTTCTATTTTCTGCTGCCATTCACATCATTTTGTTTATGACCTCTTCTCTAACTTCCTTCCCCCTTGTCACATGCCCATCCCCGCAAACCACACTACAATACTCCTGCTTCAAATGTTTACATATTTTGACAAACATGATCTCCCACTTAGCCCTACATATACATACATCCTTAGAATGTCAGGAGATCTTTACAGCAGAACTAAAGCAAGGATACAACAAAGGGAGAGCTGACTAACAGCAGGAACAAGGTGAGATTCTTTTCCCCCAATGTTGTGAAAAAGGTGAATTCTAGAAACCAAATCAAAAACCATTCCATTATCTTTCATGCAAAACTTAGCAAAACTGCAAACAGCAGCCAACACATTACAAACATGTATTTACACTGAAAGCAGTAGCAATACTTAGCTTCCCATAAACTTTACAGTCCTAACAACTAGAAGATTATTAAAACAGAAATAAACCTTCCCTCATCCTTTCCCCAATATTATATAATAATAAGACAGCACTTGCTTGAAAAATACACCTGTACATCAGATATGAATAGATTTTTTTTCAAAAAGCTGCCAGAGTTTTGTTTCTTGTGAAGTCTGTAATACCACATGCGGTATCCCTCCATCCCAAAACCACAGTGCTACAAACCCAAGTTGCCTTGCTTATGTTTACACAACATAACACAGAACCAGGAAAGTACTTCAGATAGATCTACATAAACTTTCTTATATTGTAAAAATTATCTTGGTACCTCACCCAGGCTCACCTTGCAGCCTTGCTGAGAAAATGAATACCTCAATTCTGAGAGCACACCATGCTAATGCAGCTGTATTTTTGTCACAACCCAACCCAAGATCTCTACATGGTATTGCACAACATAGATAAACCCAAAATAGGTAGTCATGAGCTACTAACCTACAAGGCATCTCACTCTGCTATAAGGTAAACCCTATATTTAGGATATGTAACGTTTCTTCTTGTCCGATGCTGTGCTGTGTTGCTAACCTGACCCAATGGTCTAGGGATAATGAACAAAGAACGATTTCCGGATGCAATTTCAGGTGCTATTTCTGTGACTGCTTCAAAATCATCACAAAAAGAGATAGAGGAAGCCTCATTTGAAGTTTAACAAAATTCACTCTGGAGGATCAAGCACTGGAAATGTAAAAGTTTTGAGTTTCAGATTTCAACTGCCAAATACGTTCAAAACAACTATTAAGGTCTTTGATTTCAAGAGACATAACCTTAAGCTGTGATGAAAGAACACAAGGATGTTTCTTTACCTGCTATCCAGCTGTTACATGACTTGGTAAGTTTCTGTTCTAATACCTAACTTGTTAGACACTACAGGTAACATAACTAACCCACAGCAGAGATACTGACATACTTGTTTACTGAAATAAAAAACCACCACAAAACCAAAAAATAAAACATAAAACCCAGCTCTTTTGAAGAACATGCACATTATTCTCCATGATTAGCAGTGCATTTAAGAAGAGGCTACATAGTTTGCTTTCATTTCTCTTTCTGATATTTTGATCAAGATGTAAAACTAATCACACCTATCAAAACTATTGAGAAGATGCATGTTTATCCCTGACTGGAAAGTGTAACTCCTATTTCCATTCTCACTGTGAAATGAACTTTTCACCTCCTTCATAATACCTGACAGTAAGCGCATTTAGGCAGTCTCATTCCAGATGCTTAATTAAAGGTAGACAGGTTGTTATCGATGGGAAAAACCCCAACCCTCTCACATTTATAGAAAAACTGTGATTGCAATAAACATTCTAAATACAAGATTCTCTTTCTCAAGCTGTAATATTATTGACAAGGGCAGCATATCTAAAGATTCATTCCTGAATAACACTACCAGAATCTATGGAAACGCAGTCTGAGAGCAGAGTTCACATATTTTAGAAGTCGCAAAACACCGACACTGAATGCACAAGAATTGCATAAGCTTACAGATTTTTTCTGACTTTTTTCCAACTTGCAAAAATCTCTCAGAATATGTCTGTGAAGTGAACACAGTACAAATGCATAATTCCTTGCAGTATCTAGCCTCTTCATGCAAACAAGTATCAAAATCCATTTGGATGTATCTTAGAAGCTGTGAAGGTCACAACTGTTTTCCAATAAAACAAAATTGCAAACGATAGTTTACAAGGTTATTGTAGAATTTAGCTATGTTCTCAATGCACAGAAATGATTAAATGTGCAATAAACTATATGTATATCAAACACTAAGTATATTGATTTATACCTTTGCAAGATCTCAGTAGATGCTCCTAGGAACCTTTCAAAGTTCATGAAGATAAAATTAGGCCAGGCCATCTACTCACTCAGCCATGTATGACTTTAAAAACAAGAAAACCCACAAAGTAGGACCACAAAAAAAATACACTATCTACATTTGTGATTCACCTTTCAAAGCAGCCCCCCCTCTTCCTCCAAAAAGGCACTTAAGCATTTTTCAAAAACAGACCTCTAAACAAGAAAACCCACAAAGTAGGACCACAAAAAAAATACACTATCTACATTTGTGATTCACCTTTCAAAGCAGCCCCCCCTCTTCCTCCAAAAAGGCACTTAAAAAAGCATTTTTCAAAACCAGACCTCTCTTAAATATAATTAACTTTCAGTTATCAGATACTTCATGTCTGTGTTTACAGATAAATGATGAAAAACATCCCTTTCTCAAAAAAAAAAAAAAAAATCCAAGAAACTCAATGACGCCTACGCTGGAGAAAGAGTATACTTTCCATCCTATTTTCCAATTCCATATTGATTTTACGCAGAAATAATATTTCGGTCCAGAAAGTGAAAAGTTTCATAAAATGTTACCAGCAAACAGAGAATTATAGCTTCAAACATACGTTCCTTCCTGCTACCACATCAGAAGATTTCATAGTTTAACATGTTTCAGTGTCCTTTATCTCAGACTGCCTCCCCACACATGCCTTTATTTGCTACCAACAAGCTATTTCCACTTAAGACAACACACTGAAACAGCAGTGGGACCCACCTGATCACATTTGGAGTTTCTGTACATATTGAAAAATCATTTTCTACGATGACAAAGTTAATCTCAGAAATAACTAGCATGCACTACTTGCAAACTTCTTTCACTAAGTCATTTCCCTAGAAAGTGGCATTCTTTTACACTTTATTGCAAGGTAAATTTTGCTGAAAGTAAATCTCTAGAGCTATTCCTGAGCCAACTACTACAGAACAGTAGACTGGCAGGAAACGTTCTAATCCTAATACATTTGGGCAAAATCATCAACATGCACTGACACAGTTTTTCCTCTGAAAGAACTACAGATAGTTTTGTTTACATCCACAGGTTTCTGTTAAGAATAAGTAACTATCTACATATAAATCCAGTAAAACATCCAGATGTACCTAAATGCTGTCAATTTTTTAGTTACTGAAAAAAGAGGAATAGGGACTATCAGTAATATGATTTCTGTATTTTAAAAAGTTGGTTTACCAGTACAGTAATGCCATGTGATCACTGCTCTACTAGGCACATAAGTTAATTTAGCATATATCAAATTTTCCTCTTCCGCTCTCCACTTTCCTGAAAATAAAGAGACTCAGAAGTCTAAATGCACATACTCAAAATTAATCCTAACAATGTTCTGTATTCTGGAAGATAAAATAGACAAAATTACCACAGGATCTTGCTGGCAAAAAAAACATGCCAATAAGAAACGGGGGAGAGAACAGGAGGAAACAGTGTTTGCTCACTCTATGGCGCAGTTTTGCAAGTTTTTGTTTTTTTAAGAACTAGTTAATAATACAAAGGGAAAGAACTGGTGGCCTCCAGTGTGAACATTAGTATATATTTTTAAAATTGCAAAAAAGCGTCATATAAAGTAAGAAACACCACTTACCTGTCCCACCCCCACTCTCAAAAATTGGCGAACTCCATGTTTCACCAAGGTTTCTTGGTGGCTACATCTCAAGACTAGAACAGGCTGGAGCCCAAGCAGTAAGAGCACATTAGGAGGGGCTGAAATTGGAAAAAAAATGTTATACACCTCTTTCATATCTTAGGTACAGAGAATCATAAAACCCATAATTGAGTAGGTTTCCACAGCAGTTAATTCTGTAGACTGGAAATACTGGTATTGTGCATTTACTATCCATCATGACCAACAGTATCTACATTAATGAGATCTTGATGTAGTTACTTAAAATGTCAGACCTTAGACAATTAAATCACAAATCACTTCAATTTCTCAGAAAAGCCCACCAGTGTAAGCATTTTTATAAAGATACGGGAAAGCTAACTTCAGTGAAGGAGGAGGGAGGAATACAGTTCATAACCCTAACTGCCAAAGGTGACCCATTCTCTATCTATGGTTTTACCACAGAATGAACAAAAATGAACTACCTAAGAAAGCAAGATCATGGAAGCAGGTATCTTCCATTACTACAGATTTTTTTTTTAAAGATGTCCAAAATCTCTCCTAATAAAGACAAAATTCTTAAGAATCAGCATATCCTTATTTACAGAATTCACTAGGAATCATTGAAAAACTGACACTAAAAGTCAGTGACCTTTAATGACCTTAAAAGTCCTATCTTGACACCAAATACCTTAAATAAGAGTCACCCAGCCTGTCAAAAAGCACAAGGCACAATCTACACAGTCTTGTACAAATTTCTAACCACTTTTCTGTAACTAAGGTATGGCTGAGTTAATCCTCGATGAGGGTATTGCAAAGTGCCACTTTAGTTAATACACAGCCTGACATGAAAAAGGCTCTTCAGAGCTCATTTTTTTTTTATCCTGGAGGTAACAGTTTTTCTTGTCCTTTCCTTCAGTCAGTAAGAGTGAAAAGAACAGAATATAAAACTCAGTTATACACGCCACTGTTGCAGTGTGTCACAAGATACCAGCTCCTTAGGAAGTTGACTTTTTATCTGAGAAGTAAAATTTCCTAAGAAGATAGCTCTTGTGTCACACCCTCAGTGGTCCAGGAGAGACAACCTGAGGTCAAAAGCAGAAGCGTAACAACCCGTATTACGCATCAACTAAGAATTTGAGACTCATCCACAGCTCCCAATAAACTAACATGAAGCATCCCAGAAACTCTTCAATTAATAATGACTTATAAAAGAATCAGCTTCTTAAGTACACACGTAAGGTTAGTGAGCACCAGGACCTCTTAAGATCTAAAATAATCAATGCCAGGAACTCCAATTACAGACAACTTTAAATCTTTCATGAAATAACACACACCCCTCCGCCCAAGTATTGTGACACAACCAAAAATGCATGTTAAATTACACACTAATGAAAGAAATACCTTAGGAACTAGTTACAGAAGTGAAATCAACAAAGCAGTCTTAATTTTCTCAGAACATTATTTATTCCGCTTAAAGGAATGAGAAGGAACAGTATCATACATTTTGTACATGGACTGTGGGAATGGGGTGGTGAAGAAAGGAAAGGCGAAAAAGAAACTTTAGGGAACAGAGATTACAGAAAAGTTTAACCTGACATTGTTATAGAAATAAATTAATAAATACACACCAGTTAAGTAGGTTTAAACCTTGTCTTAGAGCTACGCTCTGAGAACTTGAAAAAAAAAAAATCAACCAATCAGCCTTTTAATCTCTTAGAAATGCAATGGGTATATAGTTTGTGATAGCCTCTTTTAAGTCTCTCAAAACCAAGAATGGATCATCAATGCCAAATAATTCACAACACTCTTATTTATAAAAACTCAGGAAGCTCCCCCTCAATGCTGTAGAGCTGTACTGTGAAAGGACAAGGAAACACAATACTGCACAAGATATATTTTCTTCCCTGTATGCTATCAGTCATGGCTCCTCAAAGCTGCAGAAAGCACTTGAACGTTCAACTGGAAATATTTGTTGAACTTTGAAAGTTATACAATATTAATTCTTCTGGCTCCACTGCACAGGGGGTATACTTTATTCTCAACCACAGACAACAGTAACAGAAGTGAAGATAAGGTTCAGAAACCTGTGGTCACACAACAAATCAAAATAAGATCTGAGCCTCTATTTCATCTGTAAACTGCAACTAACAAGTTTCACAACCACGCTAAACCTGGATATTCCAACCCAAGCTTACCCTATATCTATTAACCTAACACAGGTTGTAAGAGACAGAAAAAAGAAAACTAATCCAGCCACCAGTCCTCAATCAAGTTACTTCAGGATTTCTGGCAAACACGTCCTCAATGGTTTTGCAGGATCAGCTCCCCTTTCTCCTTGCCCAGTTTCCTTTTCAAAGTTCAAGATCCCCCTCAGAATCAGCTGCTGACACCAAGACTCCTGAATAATTCTTCCCCTCCTCCCAGTCCAGTCAAAATGTATCATCCTCAGGACTTTGCTTTTAGCAACCCTTGCAAAGAGGTCAAGATATTTTAGAGACACAAGCCATACTGGATACTCAAGTTGAGACCCCTTAACTGAATCTTTTTCAGCACTCTCAAAGTGAGGCTTGTAAGCTTTCTCAAACTGGCCACTCCAAAATGATTAAGGCCTTCTGACTGTTTCAGATATGCATTTGTGACTTTGTTTATCAAGGACACACACACAGACATAAAGAGTTAGGTTCAGTTGGGCGTAAGCTGGGGTCTAGTACTACTGAAGACGCCCCAGGTGTTCCACCAGGCCTCCAGTGGGTGTTCCAGTAGGTGATGGTCTGTCCACAAGGCACATGCCCCAGCTGCCAGGCCTGGGTGATGCCTTGCACATCTCACTGCTTATCAGATACTCCATGTGTAAACATTACAGATTAAAGCTCCAAGAGAGTGGATTAAACAACATCAGTATTATGATCAACTAAGTGTGGTGGATGAAAAGTCAGGAGGCCTACTTCTGACAATGATTTGCCAAATGAGCTTGCAGAAGAAACTTTCACTCTACTTTGCTGTATTCTCAATGAAATTAAACACGGTGCATTCTGAGATTCAACTGAAGATAAATATGATTAAGTGATCAGCAGCATCTAGCACTTTGTTCATTTCTCCAGATCAAACAGCCCCCACAAAGAGAGTGGCTATTCATTTATTAAATGTCAGTAAAACTAAGATAATGATAATTAACTTCTACAAACCCAAATACACGTTCTGTAACACTTTGCTGAGTTAGTTGAAAGCTTTAGGAAGCTCCCATTACAGAGATATGCTACCTATTTCTACACAGTTCAGGAAGTTTATGGGTTGGTACAGAATACTTAAGACATGTAGGTAAGACACGTAAAGCATCATATAGTCTCTTTACATTTGCAGCAAGACATGTCATGGAAAACTGGTAACTCCAAGCAGTATTATTTAGGGACTTAAAAGACAAACTAAAACATTCAAGTACCTACGGCAATGAAAAACAGGTTCTGGAGGTGTACTTTACAAACAACAAATAAATTAAATTACAAACAGCTATATCCTAGTATGCGATTATATTTGTGAAATTTAGGTGAAGTAATCTGATTTTTTTTTGTCATGGTAACATGACAAATTATCCTTGACTGTAGTGCCTAAAAAGTCACAAAATACAGAAAAAAGACCCCTAGCAAAATCAACCCCTCAAAATGCAAACAGTACTATTCATTCCAAACAACCTCATTCAGGATTCTACATATGTTTGCTCCCTTAAAATCAGTTACAGAGAATCTACCCTGAAATCTAGATGTTTAAGAACATATATTTAACAGCTCACTCATACTTTAAAACAAATTCTAGAACCACAGAAGTCAAGATTCCACCGAAGCACCTCAATCCGTCCAAGAAAAATTATCTTTCTCTGACCAAGTGCAAATAAAGAGACTGAAATTCTGAAACTTACCTGTAGCATACCAACTATTTCCACTTTATTAAAAAAGATGAAAGAATGAAGTGTTGATAGCATATTTTCCTCAAAAACTGAGGGAGTGGGTAGGACCATATCTTGAATATACTGTACTCTGTATGTTTGATGTATTTTTTGCTTCAGCTCTGGATCAGATATAGGAATCACCTCTTTAAATTTTGCCGTTTTAGTCAGAAATTCCCTGTGTTTCCGTGACTGTGATAAAGACGGATCATATTCTAGGCATCCAATTACGTCCATTATACATTCCTCAGAAAACATTACTTCAAAAAGTGCAGTTCTGTTCAAAAGGAAAATTCCTTTAATTATTTCATATAAGTGGTGTAGTCCTTCAATGTTCTCCAAGTCTTCACACACATGAAAAATTTCTAAGAGCTTCTTAATATAGCCCTCATTTTCCAGTGCTAGTGCGAGTTTTTCACGACGTAACGGTGAAGGCAGTGAAGATGCCACAAGTTCTGCAATTTCTTCTAGTCGACTTAATTCACAAGATGGCAATTCTAGACCTGGTGATGACATATCATCAAAGCGTTCTTCCTCAGATTCATCGACAAGATCCTGAGTAATATCAACAGACGGGTCTTTGCCTTGAACCTACAAAATAACATGTTCAAAAAATGTTTACTGCTACTTGAAAGCTTTTTTTAAACGTACCATTTCAAATGTCACCCTCTTTTTCTTTGTATGGCCAAAATAGAAGCGTAAATGTAAGTTTGACATGGAGAACAGCTGGTTTGGAAAATATAAGATAATTAAAAGATTTCTCCAAACAGAAGACTACAAAATTATTTCTACATTAGATATCTAGTTCTATTTATTTTCTATAAAAACCAGGAAGAATAAAGAAAAATGCTACATTTTCTGAGTACTTCAAATAAAAAAGGAAATTAATAATCACTGGTATGGATGACATAGACTACTGAACTAAGCTATTTGCTTCCTGTCTTTATCTTCCACAGACAGATTTTCAAACGCAAACCAGTATTATGTTACTGCAGTGCTAGCTTTAAACATTTATCTACAGGATAATGCTTTTTGAAGCTTCTGCTACCTCAAACAGAGAGGAGAGGCCAGTCTTCTTAATTTAATTGTTGTTTTCAGTTCTGGAGAGCTGTAAATCAAAATCTGTTACTATGCACTTTCTAAATACTCAGTCACAGAATTCCCTCTTCATAACAGAAAAACCCAAACCAACATCAACAAAAGAGAACCAGAAGAAATCTGAAGCTATCAGAAAACAAGGCACAGGACTCACACAGATCTCTCTAGAGATACAACAAAGAAACTGTGGAAAGTACACCTTAGTGAAAAAAAGAGACAGAGGCTTGGGCACTAGAGTGTTTCAGCTTTAATGACAACTTAATTTAGTATCTGCTTGGAGTCTGATGTGTCAAATCCAGAAAGGCACTGCTGTGTAGAACAGCAGAAGATACTATTCTTTTTAATCTTGAAAATTAGCAAAAAAATTCTGGGAGAAATAATTCTTCATGGATAACAAGCCTATACTTAATTAAAACCCAGAACGCTGTTCTAAAACCCACATACTCTTCTTATACATCAGCAACAACTTCCAGTATAAGTGGTATCAAAGTTTTCCTCTTAGAAGAAGCTTTAATGACTAAGGAAGCTAAAGATCTTTATAGTACACTAGACACAAATACAATACCATGGCCTCAAAACAGGATGTAAAGACACTGGTTTCTTACAAAAATATTAGATCTTTATATGAGGCTGAGGAAGCTGGGCTTCTTATCTGGGTATTTCCCAAGAACACAATTTCCGCTTTCCCCCCTTTGTTTCTGTCCCCAACTTTTGGTCCTTTCACTGCTAAGGTTCCTGGAAATGTTTCTGTACTTATTTACATAAGCTTCTGTACTTATTTACATAAGTGGTAAACTGTTGAAAAGACTCATTCCTAAAAAAAGGAATGCTCTATACACATGCAATTATGAAACCAGATTTCTTTTGCCTTATTTCTGAAATCAGTGAGAACAAACTTCAAAAGACAGCGTGGAGAGAGCTAGAAGTTTGTTAAGAACAAAAAGAGAGAGCACCTAGAGAGAGTATTAGATAAATTTGGAGAAATCCCACCTAAAAGAAAATTAAGATTTAAAAAAAAAAAAAAAAAAAGATAAAAAAATAAAAAAAGTTGTAATTCATGGAACAGAAGAAAAAACCCAAACAAGAACTGACAAATTGAACTAACACGAGTGAATATATTGACTAAACTCTTCTGTGTATTGGTGAACAGTTAATACCTGACCAAATGTTATCCAGAAACAACACTGATTCAGTGACTATACAGTCATCCAGTAATAGTGGTAAAACATAATTAGTTAATTAGCACATATTAAAACACATACATGATACATACAAATTGTTTGATTTCTTTGAACTGTAAGAATTATAGCTCCATCCCTCTATTATCACTTCAAAGCTATCTCCTACATCAACTATCAATCTTTCATACCCTGACAGTCAACAGAGGCATACTGTCACATTTACATGACAAAAAGTTCTGTTGAGAAACTCAATATTCCCCTCACCTGAAACAGAAGGAGAAACGTAAGAAGAGAAATGTGACTAAGATATGGTCAAACCCATGAGAAATACATTATAAAATCCACTAAGAGCTCACATACATTCTTCTCTCTACAATAAAACTTTGGACAGGTAGCCTTTTCCCTTCTGGCCAACCTGGAAAAAGTTAAATATGAAATTAATTGTTTTGAAACTTTTTAAGCACTCATTTTGAACTAAACTTCCTTGGGCCATAATAGAGCTAAAAAGCTGCATTAAGCAAAAAGACCTGAAAACGCTCAGAAAAAAGCCCAAGACAAACATACTCTAAGTTGATATCAAATTTCTGGAGGAAGGAGAAAGTTTTCAAACCGAAACACACAAGATTTGGGGGAGATGGCTAAGACAATAGTTTTTACTTCTTACTACTCTTTACAGATTCACCTCTTAGAACAGTCTAAAAATTCTGAACACAAACATTAGGATGATTTAGGTGTCTCAATCTTACATTTATCAAACTTACCTGACATATTTTTTCCCATATTTCATCACATCCTGCTTTTTCTTGAAAGCTAAGTGCCAAATCATAATTTTCAGCTTCAGACCACACAATCAAGGTATCCTTTAAAGAGAGGAAGAGTATTTTCAGGCAATGTATTTCACATTCTACAAACCTGAATAGTGTTTAAAGAGTAAAATTTTAGAATAAAAACAGCTTGACACCTAATTATGACAGGACAGTATTACAATACAAACGTCATCATCATACTTTGTAAGTTTTTTGCATAAATCAAAATAATGACGTTCCAGAAAAATACTGAAAAGTTTTAGCTCTTCATTCACGTGACCATAATATTGTAAATCTCAAAAAGGCTGAGTCATAATATGTATTTCTACCTCAATGCATCCTGTGATAAAATATGGTAACAAAAGCAAGAGGTTTGGGGTTTTGGGGGGGTTTTGTTTGTTTTTTTTTAATCTGTTTCAATTGGAGCACATAAAACTGGACATCTTTTGTAGGATCAAAGTCACAATCATTTTTTTTCATTTTTATAGGCCCCAGAAGACACTGTACTGATGCACAGAACAGCTGCTTAAAAAGCAGCCTCAAGAGACCTACAAACTTTAAACACGAAAAGGAACTTGAATATGCACAGAGTTAACTGCCTAAGAGTATGAATACCTATTACACTGAACCATGCACACCATTTTTACTCATTCCAAACTTCAATTCTGAAAAGATATTTTGCCCTAGATTTCTAGAAGTTAGTTGAAACCCTGCTTAGCTATGTTTACTACCCAGACACATAAGCTCCCATCTACTTACTAGAATAATTCAAGAGTTTATCAGAGCCCTCATATTGCATGCAAAAACAATACATGGAAGTGGAAGCTGATGCTGCAAACAGCAGTATCGCACACTGATAGGGTATTTGATGCAGTGTTTACAGACAGTCTGCTAAATAACTGTTAGAATTAAAAAAAAGAAAAGAGAGAGGAAAATATAACCTGTATTATTTACATATTGAATCAAGTTTTATTTTAAAAGTCTTTTGTCTTCCTAGAACAGCTAGCTGAAATATAGCCACACACAGACTGCATTATTTCAGTTAAGTGCCACAACATGCATTTACTCACGAGAGACATGAGAATTCTTCTACTTATATTTCAATGAGAACCATAAAACGAGTTTTTTTTCTTCGTTAAGTATAGATTTTGCTCATAATGATTATTCCTAAAGTAATTAATTTTAAATATTTGCAAAAGTTGCAAGACATTTATAAAGTCTAAGACAGTTTATTCATCAGGCTTAATTTATTTCAAATATTAAAATGAATGTTGAGTATAAAGAGAAATCTTACATTTAGATTTCGATATGCACTTACTAGTAAACTCCTTAAACTAAATAGCATGATCAGCTAGCTCCATTAGGATTCAGTCAAGCAATACAATATAGTCAATTTGCCATTACCAGAGCAGCTATACTGCTTCAGTGGCACTAATGGCTTTACCTTGCAAATGGCAAATAGTTTACCTTTTCCTTTTCCAAAGGGTTGAGGAAGAGGTGGTACACAGAAGAAAGGGATTTAGGAAGACCACCTCCAAAATACAAAAGGAAGAAGAAAATCACAATTAATAGTTTATTCTCTACAAGACAGGTCACGGTGCGAATACTCTGGTAATAACAGATTGACAGCACCTAGTACTGCTGACTCCTATAGAGTGAGAAAAATAACAGTTTACAAAAATTTAGAAAGGGAAGACTCAAAAGAAAAAAAAACCCATCCTTTAAAAACCGTATGTACCTCACTGCAATATTCATTGTATGTATCCAGTTTAAAATCTAATACATTAATCTCTGCAATTACCATTTATGCTGCAGTAATTTTCAAAGCCACTGTCTCATTAGCTTCCCACTGAGTGGCACTTATTTAATTTTAAAAAAACCCCTAAGACTAAATCTTAAGTAGACCCCAGCAGAACTTTCAACACTCCTATCTAATTACCTTTCCATTTAAGTGCAAGTGGTTAGATTTCTAAGCGAGCCCTTTCCAAAGGTCAAAATGTATTTTCTTCCGTATAAAGAGCACGACTAACAAATAGGGAAATGACTACAAGAACACAAATAAGGACAGTGTAATTTACATTAACTGCAGTAAGTTGAATAAACAAAAGCTCTAAGTCTGAATAAAATCCAGTAGTGGACCAAGACAGGTCTGTCTTTTTCGCCTGGGGAGAGGAGGGATGGAGGGAGGAAGGCAGGCACAGCAAAAATGAAAGGGAAGACACAAAGGTAAAGCTCCTTCTGAAAACAATAAACAAAATATTATCTGTTGTCTTATCACACAAGGCTTTCATACTATAGATTAATATCAGTGCCTCAACAGAAATCTATCAGCTGCTACTCTCCCAATCTTTAGTAAGAGAGTGTTTGTACATCCTTTCTTGCCTCAAAGAGCACATGAAGGCAAGTCAGAAAAGCACTTCACTGTTGCATAATACTCAGTTCAGTCAAAGTTTAAATTCACTGTTAAATGGAGACAATTATTAACGTAATTTCATTTTCTTAATCCTACAAAGTTTATAACCATCAAAAAGAAGAGCAGTGCAAGACTTGTACATGTTGGGAGAAGTGACTGAAGGAAATTCTACACATAGTTAAAGATAAAAAAACATTAACAAAAGCCTAATTTCTGCTTGTTTTATTTAAGGGAATCTTTCTATGTATTTGATCTGACATCAGTGTAATTTGAATCCACTAACTACTCTGGATCTCTCAGCTAAGGAATACAACTATCTGTTGCTTCCAAATGCCAAACATTACTCCTTGTGACTCCAAAAAGCAACTGTAATATCTTAAAACTGCCTCCTCCATTCCAAGAGTAAACACAAGTGTGAACAAATATTCTTAGTAATAATAGCTACTGGTTAGAGAGGTAAGGAGATGAGTCTTCACAGAATCACAGAATGTTAAGAGATTGGAAGGGACCTCAAAAGATCATCTAGTCCAATCCCCACATCACCCCTCTATGAGCATAAAATCTTCAATCTTGTATGATTCATAAAAGCAGTTCTAGCTCCATTTCATAATTTTTTTTTTGTATTACATACAAAATGTTCACCTCTAGACAAGGAACTGGAGGGGATGACTAAAGTGAACATCTAATTTTTTTCTCATCTAGCATGTTGTTAAACACAATTAAAATGTGAACCTGCAGTATTAAATTATAGCTACATTGTGTGAGCCGAGTCATAAACACAGACAAATGTTTTATCATTGAAGGCTTTTCTACTGAGTGCTCTGCAAGAATCATAGCATTTTTCAAGATGCATTAGAGTTCTTCGCAAGATCTTTTTGAAATAGGATGGAATCAGGAAACTACTTATGTAGAGCTCATGATCTTATTCTGAGCTTCAAAATCATTTGCTGCTTCACAAAAAGAAGTATTTTGACAATAATAGCAGCTGAATGTGTCATCACTACCCTAGCCCATACAAAATTTGCTGTCTCCCTAAGACCATTTATATAAATTTGTCTTCTTTCGTTGTTCATTATGACTGCTCAGATATAATCAGGAATTCATAATTTTAAGCAAAAATTTTGAACGTGGCCTCTTTTTAGAAGACCTGTGTATTTAACACTCCCATAAGAGGTATTTATCATTTCTACCAATGGAAGTTAACTTTTCGCACTCTTATCCTTATAAACAAACAGCCTGAGGCAAAACTTCTTCAGAACACAATCAAGCATTTCTCTGCTGCTTGTCTCATTGTTGGCTGCATCAAGTCCACATGGAACAAGTCCTGGTTAGAGGTTTCCAAGGAAGCACTACTGCATGCTACAGCTTTTTCATTCCTAAGAAACTAACCTTCAAAAATACTACTGCAATCACTTAAACCAGAAAACAGTGACAATTGTACTTAGATGGACAGGGCTCAGTATCTACCATATGATTCCTCCTCAATTTTTGAAATTATTTCCAAAAGGCTTACTTTCCTTAACAGGCAGGTTGTTGAATACATATTGTCAGTCTCAAGTTCTTGCTGTAACGCTCACCAGAAGTCACGCTTTTATTAGACATTAAATCAGTTTTATTTAACTATTAGCAAGCTGATTAGCAGATGTGTTGTACAGCACTCACACAACCTCCAAAGCAAGCCCTAGGACTTCATACTGAGGAATTTCAGAGCAACTAGTACTTCGGATTTGATTCTGCTGTAAAATTGATTTAAGATTTCTTTCCTAACATGACAAAATTAAGAAAACCATTATTCTTTGGCAATGCCCTCTCACTGGTGTTCACATCCAGGGAGAATACTAGTCTTCTCTGTAGCTCCAAGATATTCTAAATTCCTATGAGATTTTAGGCTACTCTCAAGAAGTAGTGGTGCCCCAAAATAGACAGTTCTTTTGTAACTTCTTGCTTTCTGTCTTAAAAAGCAAATTAATCTCTTACTACTAGCCCTCAAACAATTTAGGCCCATGACACTTTGCTGGCTCCCACCGGAAGTTCAAGAGGAAAGTTGTTTCTCCCCCTCTTCGACTGCCTGATAGCCAGTCTTCCTTTTCTAAGCCCTCACACTGTTCACAGTTAAAGACGCTTCCTTGGACACGCTAAGCCACTTGTCAGCATCTTGCTAACTAATTATTTACAGTCCAAAAATTCAGCTTCATAAGCAGCTTTCTGCTGTCATGACCCAGGTTTTTTAAGTTAAATATAGGTAGGTTGCAGCAGAATCTTCAGGCTAAAAAGCCCACCCCAGACATGTAATATAAAGTCGCAATTCTGCATTTGGTTTTGTGCATTTGCTCATTTAGAACCTGGATATCTGGATGCACTAACAAGTTATCCCAAAAACCGGAATAACTTATCAAAAGCACACTGACTCTTTTGGCAGAATGTATTCCATTACCTTCTAGAAAAGCTCAACGACCATACACGACTTTCCAGTTAGCCATTTCATAGCTGCATTCCCATGAATCATATGAAATAAAATCAGTTTATTACTTCTATAACACAACTCGATTTCACAGGAAAATGTGTTAAAGGAACATTTCATCATTTAAAACAGATGAACCAACCCACCCCAAAACCAACAATGCTCACTCCCCTTGTTTCTCCCCTCACCCCACAAAACAACACACTTTTCCTTACTATCTTAGCTATAACAAGCACAATTTTTATTGAAATAGTTTCACTGTTGGCTCACTTCTCCTGACAGCAAGGGTAGGAAGTTCATCTTCTCTGAGCATTCTGCCAGTGCCTTTTCGAATCTTTTCAAAGTTTATCTTTGTTGCTAATAAGTCTGCTCTCCATCATTCAAGGATAGACACCTTTGAGCTTCATAGCTAGTAGATGGTACTCAGGATGAATTTAAGCTTCGTATTCTTCTGTGGAACTGAAAAGGCAGAGGACAAGACAGTGGTTTCTAGTGCAGAGGCAAGACTTTGTAGCTGGAAACAACTCAAGTCTTCCTTGTTTCAGGCACAAGAAGGGATGGATGTAATATGTACTTCATCACTGGGTTAGAGGATGTACATGGATGTATCTGAAACAGAGGATCTAAGTCCTTCTGTTTTATTGCTAAACCATTGATAAAGTATATTGAAAGTATATTGAAAAGTATATACCCCAGTCCACACCTGTCTCAGCTTTCTTGCTATATAAATGCCATATAGAGTTTATTTCTCCTTTAAGGTTGCATACGAAGAGGTGTGTTGTCCTAAAACACAAGTGCAATTATTAATTTTCTGAATAAGGGGAATCACTTGTTTAAGAACAGTACCTCTGTCACTAGCATTTTGGAGTTGTGTTATTTTAATTCCTTTAAAAAAAACCCCAAAAACAAGAGCATGGATTGAAGTAAATTGACTTCACCAGGACATTAGAACTAAAATGCCTTCTACCTTTACTAGTATATTACAAAAAACATCAAAACCAGAAGAGGAAAAATAAGCATTCTACATGTGGTCCAACAACCCACACTATAATTAAATTCCACTTACTAAACAAAATTTAAGCTGTGTGCTACTTACCCATAATTAAATCCAGTACATTCCATACCAAAGTTATAGGACCATTATTGTAACAGTTTAAAACAATACCACAAATATAACTTAATATGCAGCCCTAAACAATACAAGTCAGAAGGCCAAGTAGCTGTACTGACGCAGATTTTGCTTTTTAGAATAAATCTTCTGCCTACAAATACTACCTAAACATAAGAAATACTAGTCCTTTCCTAAGCCACAGGACATTAGTTTCTGAAGTTGTTTTCCTTCTAGCTCATTTTCCTCATATGGATTCCTTTCTTCCAGTTCTAATTTAAGTCAGGATGAGTTTGCCAGGAAGTATACAACTCCAAGCATTCAAAAACATCTACTGTTAGCAATTGTATGTTACAGGATCAGATACATAGACATATCCACCTTTTTGAAAGCACAGCAGAAAATGACTCTTCATTGTGACAGCAAAACAGATCTAATTTATCTGACTAGCGAAAAAAGGTAGTTAAAAGACTGCCTGTGTGTTTCATGCTTTAAGGAATTATTTCAAACCTCTAGACAGCAGGCAAGTCTGGAAAGACCAGGGACTAGACTGTGCAAACTGAAGTACCCAAGGACCATGCTGATGTACCAAAAATGAGTTCCTGAGTAGGTCTCAATATCTGTCAAGTGTTCCTCCTCTCCACCAATTAGTTCAGCATTTACATGCACACAGAGACCTGACTAATCCACAATAAAGGGCAGTTGTTGCTTTCAATCCTGAACCCCAAAAAATCTTAAGCAGACAATCTGACAAAATTTGACTTGAAACTCAGGCTCACAGAGTAGAGCTTTTGTTGTTGGTTTGGGGGGGGGTTGTTGTCTGCTTGCTTTGGGTTTTTTTTTTTTGTAGTTTCCATGAATGTTTTACATGCCAAGAAAACAGAGGCAGAAAGGCAAACTTATGCTCAGGTTTTCACACTTTTGACAAAATAACAATCTCAGTTATCATTAAATTACACATATGAATACCCTGAGATTGCATCATTTGTGATATTAACAATTAATGAGACAATCTGTTTCACACTGGCACTAGTCACACAGAATGGGTAAAAGGTTCTTTCACCAGAGGAAGAACTTCAGTGATTATCACAAAGGTATCTACAGGCTTCTTGAAGAACCCAAAGCAACCAGCATAGCAAGCTCCCCCAAAAGCTTATCTAGCACATACCTCTCCTTCCTTCCAACCACAAATTATATTAGTTGGTCCAATAAAAGATTTTTTCTTCTTACAAGCCTCATATCAGCCTAGACGAGAGTCAGAACTCATCCACTTACTCCATTAGATATCCAAAGTGCCCACAAGCCATATGCTAAGTATGTCACAGTAAACCCAGCTCTTATGTACTGCTGTGTACCCCTTTAAAAGGGAATGGGGGTTCACCCTCACAAAAAAAATTTGAGATAAAAGGCTGGTAAGACCTTAATGCCGGAAAGTTACTCTGAAGTTTTAAGTCTCATGTGTCTAGAAAATTTTTCTTGACATTTTATGAGCATAAATGACAGCTGTAGACAAACTCAAAAGTAAGTGTATCTCAGACTGCAATTCCACTAGCAGCTGAGGTGACCTAAGCATTGTTCTGCAGCCAAAAAGGAAAGATCTCACTCGCTCTTCCAAGTCACAGTTCCACAAACGGATCTTGAGTGAGGTGGCTTGAAACTTCTGCTGACGTAAAGTTACCAGTTTTTGAAGAGGGATTTGGAGTACCAAGTTGATTTTCTTGCAGTTTAGTGAGTTCAGGCAGTACAGAGTTCTAGGAGCTGAGCTGGAAAGCAGCAACTCTTCCTTTCAGCTGCTAAGCTCCAAGCTTAGCTCACAAAGAATCACGTTTAAGCTCTGGATTTGCCTTTTACTAAGGAAAAGTGTTAAGTAGGTATCACCTGAAAGATAATGTACTGCAAAGCAGGATTAATACACGCACCAAGAAAGATTAGGTATTTCTAAGACTCAAGGCGGAGCCCCACATTCAATCTACATTAGAGACTGCTTTGCTTAAACAATACGAACAATCTACCTGCAAATATGAATTTCTATCTATGCAGTTAAAAGCTTTAAGAACATCACTTTTCCTTCTCTAGCACAGAAACCGTACAGTGCTGTTCTAACAGGACAGATTCATGTTTAATATTTTTCTCTCTAACCATGTTTTCACAATCACCAGTATTGGATTTGTGCAGTGCTAGGTTACAATACATGTCTGACTCAGAGTAGCAATGAGCACAAACATGAAATGCCGTTGCACTGACAGGCATGTGTGGTAGTTTGCACTGATCTTACAATTTTACGCCCACTTTAAGTAGACTTCGTGTTTGATCTGACATAAAGTCTACTAATACAAAGCTCACCTCTCAATGCTCTTTGAGCAGATATGAACCAGCAAAGCAAGTTCACACTAGATCAGTGCCTTATGCCATAGAGCTGTGAAATATTTAATGTAATTTCAGGAGTCCTAAAGCTGGAGTTACTGCGTCATAGAACCACGACCTCAAGCTATCAAGGATTACAACTAAGAGCATTTTGCTAGTCTTGTCCTTATTTAACATCTGCAATTAATTCTCCACCACACAATGGCCTTACCAGTTGTTCAGCACAGATTGTTTATATAGGGCATTACGAATTGTATCAAGGGGCAGATACAGGTTAAATTTTCCAAAGAAGGATATTTTTAACCCAGACTGGTTCTCCCCATTCAGTTCAACATAAAATCCTACGAACAGCTGCAGCCACATAACCACTCAACTGCCTGTGAGCAAAACTACAGTATGTCTATGCTTATAATAAACTATAATAAACTATTGAAGCTGGAGACTGATCTGAGATGACCAGGCAGGCAACAAAACACAATCTGGTTCAGCATTTCTAAACCTCTAAGGGTAATTCTCAGCATCCATGAGATAAAAACAGCAAACAAACTGCAAGACCTACAGTTCACTTCTCACACATCTCAGTAGCATTCTTTAGGGGCTCACAATGTACGGCTTAAATAATTGAAGCAAGGTGCAAACTAGAGGTGAGAAGCTGCTTTTATGTATACAGAAGGCTTTGAAGCAGTAGTAACCCATATCCATCTCCTAAGTAAAAGCCAAACAAAGGTAAACATGTAAATAGCTTTAAAGCCTTCTGGTCTTCTCTTAAAGAAAAGAAATTGAGAGTTCTAGTATCTGAAATATGAAGAAAAAAAACAGATGATATTAAGTTTCAGATACTGTAATCCTCAGGAACCTCAGCTGCTCTGTGATATTCAAAACTATGCTCTGCCCATCTCTCCCAAAACATTTTTTGGTGTAAAACAGAGTGCAAGTTCTATAAGTAACATCACAAAAATGCAGAGAAATAACACACACATACAAAAACGTTGAGAGCTATTTTGCTTACTATTTTTGGTACAAGAACATATAATTTGCAATAGAGGCAAAAAAAAGGACTGTATTGCTGAAGTTAAAGAACCTGTCTTTAAACATGAGGAAAAAAGAAGTATGTTTACCTGTTGCTTCTGGTACGCAGTATTCGGGTTAATTTTGGACTCCAAAAGAAGAGAGCCTAGAAGAAAAAGTTCCACTAATTATACGTGTATTAATATTTCAATCTCAACATGAATTTTCTGATCCCTCTTTCCTCAAGTAGGTATTAACACCTTTCCTCCTAACAACAAGCCTGTGAGACCCATATTCTACAGCTTCATATTTAATTTTTCCCCTCAAAGATATTGTTCACATAGTGTATAACATCAAGAGAGTTTTCAGGACTGGATTTTTAACCTTGTTCTTATTCTGAATAATGACTTTTCCATAGGAAATTTTCTAGATGTGACAGTCTGCAAAAAATCAGCACACAACAAGCATCACGACTGCATTCTGTAGATCACCTATGGTTGTTTTGCACAAGATCTGCTAATTTGTGATATTTGTTCTTAAAGTTTAGCTAAAACACTTATATCAGTTTGTGGGAAAGCATATCTAGAACCTAATGCTTGAAGCAGCAACCACTGTGACTGCCAATATCAAAAAACTTCAGACGTGATACACTTAGGAACAATGGTTTCACAGTACCTTATACTGATTTAAGACATAGCACAGCAATTCCATTCTCATTTTTGTGTTTTCTTGCCCTTCCCGTAAGCATTAGTGTTAATACATGTTACATTTAAATGGTTCAGAGGGTTCACCTAGGTGAAAAAAACCCTTAAAACTGCTTTTATTTTTGGTCCAATCACTTCCCGCTTCCACTTTGCTGCTCAGCGTGCCAGTGCGTGAGGGACTCTTTATAGCCATAACTTAAATTTATGTATCTGCAGAGCTTCACTCAACATACATGGAGAAGTACTAACAAATTACGCTGCATAGTCAGTCTTGTAATTAAAACATAAGGCTGCAAGCACCCCTTCGAAGAGGCACTTCTCCATTCATTTACCTGCTTAAATTTATTCTTTAATAAAGACCAAACTTTAAGTCTAGAATATTTGCCAAATATCCTCACAAAATCTACACTAAAGAAAAATTAAAATGCTTCAACTGCCACAAATACGAAGTCTGAGAACATGAAGACAAGGCAAGAAAACAAACTATTTGGATTTGAAAAACATACCCGGAATTGAAAATTGCACTTCCAAATCGCACAGTAGAATCAACAATGACTAGCCAGTTTTCACTACCTGAAGAGCATAGCAATTATAAAATCCATAGCAAAAAATATTCCAAACCAATGTTTTTTTACGAAATATCACCATCCTCAGTCTCATAAGTTACATTTACAAAAAAAACGCTGGCACTCCTTTCTTGAAGGATTGCTACTAACGGAAGATCACAGAATAAGATTAGTTTGGGCTGGAGGGGACCTTTAAAGACATCTAGTCCAACCCCCTGCCATGGAAAGGGACATCTTCAACTACAACAGGCTGCTCAGAGCTCCATCCAACCTGACCTTGAATGCTTCCAGGGATGGGGCATCTACCACCCCTCTGGGCAACCTGTGCCAATATTTCACCACCCTCCTTAAAAATTTATTCCTTATACCTAGTCTACATCTATCTTCTTTTAGTTTAAAACCATCACCCCTTGTCCTATCATTACAGGCCCTACTGAAAAGTTTGTCCCCATTTTTCTTATAAGTCCCCTTTAAGTCCAAAAGGCCACAACAACACCTCCCCAGAGCCTTCTCGTCTCCAGGCTGAACAACCTCAACTCTTGCAGTGTTTCTTCATTAGGTGTTCCATCCCCCTAATAATTTTTGTGGCCCTCCTCCAGACTTGCTCAAACAGGTCCATGTCTTTCCTCTGCTGAGGACCCCAGAGATGGACTCCAGGTGGGGTCTCACCAGAGCAGACTAGAGGGCAAGAATCACCTCCCTCAACCTAGTGGTCACACTTCTTTCGATACAACCCAGGATACAGTTGGTGAGCAGGTGTTGCCAGCTCACATCCTACTTTTCATGCAACAACACTCCCAAGTCCTCCTCCACCATGCTGCTCTCAATCCCTTCATCCCCCAGCCTGTATTGATACCAGGGGTTACCCCGACCCATGTGCAGGACCTTGCACTTGGCTTTGTTGAACTCATTAGGTTCACGTGGGCCCACTTCTTGAGCTTGTCCAGGTCCCTCTGGATGGCATCCCATCCCTCAGGCATGTCAGCCACACCACTCAGTTTGATGTCACCTGCAAATCTGCTGAGGGTACACTTCATCCCACTGTCTATGTCACTGATGAAGAAGTTAGGTTGGGGGAGGTGAGGGAAGGGAAACTAAGGAACCAGATCACAGAACTTCACTTGCTGAAAGAATGGTGTATCATTAAAAGAATTACATAAATATTAGAACAGTTTGCTGTCCGATAGGAAAGGTTATTACTTTACGAACTTAGAAGCTTTACCAAGGAGTCTGGTATTCATTAGCTTACTATGTGACAATCAGATACAATTAATTCACCTTTTTTTGTCATTAACAAAGTAACTTGCCTGTGATGGCTGCTTCTTCATAAGTCAGCTGTTCTACAACAAGTAGCCTTCACTAATGAAGTTGGCTTGAGAAACTATTGCCCTGTCTCAACTGTGCTTGCAGCAAGAGCTCTTTACAAACTAGGATACAATCCAACAACACAACTGCACTATATAGCCCTCAAGCAAAAACAAGACACAATGAAAAAGCATTCTCCCCACAAAACCACGTGTACTACCCTTTTCTTCTTTAAGAGTTTTTCCAGTTTTCTAACCTGCATCAGCTCTGTTAACAAAGCAGCTTATTTGCTTAAGTGTGACAGCATAACCACACACACACACACAAAAAAAAAAAATCACAACCTACAGAGCAGGACAGAGAAGGAAAACACTTAAGATGAGCTTTACTGATGAATTCAATACACAGTGGTACTTAGGCCATAGTCTCCAGCTTTGAATTTTGGGTTTGCCTAGTGAACATCTACAAACAGCATTCCCTTTCCTGTTACGATCATCAATGATAGGCACTATTTCACTTCAATCTTACTTTCAGATTCAAAGCTTCAGCTTCAACTTCAACCACATTAAGTTTTAGGACATAATTTTTTGCTAATAACTTGGTTAGCTGATTTCTATAAAGTCTTAACTGTCTAGAAATATTTAATAACAGCAAATATGAACTAGAATCTTGTAAGAATTAAAAGCAATTGATAATTTCAACATTATATTTTAACTGCTGAATGCAGATCTACAGACATGAAAATCCTGAAATTAGCAGAATATCATTAACAACTTGAACGCCACATTTGACAAAATACTACTAAAAAATCTTGAAGGCAATTGAATGCAGACATTTCATCTTCCATGATAGAAATAGATAGTAGGGAATGACTGACCTCTTTACTAGACTTACCACAAAAGAGCATTTCTTCTTCTCTACTAAATCTGATACTTGCAGGGAAGACAAATCAAGCCTTATAAGGCTTGACTTGCTTCTCATTATAACATGACTCAACTTATTCCTCACCATTCCGGACAATAACGAGAAAAATCTGAATTTGGAGACAGAAACATACTGAAGTGTAAACTGTGTTCTATCATCTATAACTGCCCCAAATCCATCCTTCTGGAGAATCTGAATCTCCATTTGTGCAGTTTGTTCCCCAAAAAAACCAACTCAAAAATCAGTTACTATTCTACTAGTTAGTTCAGTGAGTTTATTTTCATACAGTTTTACAGGACAAGGCCCCTTCCTGGTATGAGGCAGTCTTAAGTCTCTGTTACTTGCTTCAGGGAACCAGGCAACAGTGACAGATGTCTGTAACACAAATATACTATTTAGGAAAAGTTACAGAAATTTAACATAACACGAATAAAGTTCTTCTCTATTCAAAGTCAGTATCAGTATTGATTCCTAAATACAGTTCAAGATGCTTACTCTTGCATTTATCATAAGCAATTGCTTTCTGCGTAGGTATTTTTCTCTTTATACTATCCTAGAATATGTTAAGACTATCCAGTCTACTTTGTAAAAATATACTAACAAAATTTCATCTTCACTGACCCAATTACTCTATTCAAAGTTAGGTAAGACCTGAAAACCTTAATGCTAGTTATGGTTTCAGCAAACCCCCCCCAAAAGTATGCAGATCTCGTTATTTTCTAAATTATAGCCTTGAATGATTTTGTAAAGGTAACTGCAAAACTCTGGTACCAGAAAGTAACATCTGAAACCACCTATAAAGAAGAAAACATTGATTTGCAGAATTCTGTTATTTGTCCCTGTAATACAATATAGCACAGCTGGTTGTTTTTTTTTTGTTAGTGTAACACTGTTCTGTGCTGTGAAAGGAATGCACGTATAGAGAAAGGCTTGCTCAAAAGGAGATTACATACAGATATACAACGCTATTTTCAAATATATTTAGAGAACTTCAAATATCCCAATCCAGAGTCTTAAACAGCAAATCTGCAGACTTGTTTACATATATGCATATGGAGGAGACCTGCCTGTATGGAATACCATTCTTCTCCTATCAAACTGTTCTACAGATCCTTCCACAAAAGGAGAAGAGGTACAGTGTCACTCATAACTCCTCACCAGTATGAACATGCTTAAACGAAAATTTCAATTCAAGAGCTGCTTTTTTGCAAGGCGCACACAGAGGTTTAAGTTCTGCAACCAATTCTGCTGCTAGTAAATCACAGAAACCAATTCACAGAAACTTAGGAAACAGTTCAAACTGACGTCCAAGAAAGTGCTCCGCATTCACAAGAGACTTCTTAACTCTAACACATTTCCAAAGGTCCCATTAAGGAGATGGAAGAACCAGGAGAAAAAAACATAAATAAAAAATCTCCCCCTCCCATAATTTTTTCATTTTAGCCTAAGTACATAACTGCAAAATTTTCTATGTTGCTTTCCTAAAAATAAATAAATAAACAAAATTCAACCCTTGAGTTTGAGAAAGGTAAAGCAAACTCAAGACAAATTTTGGCTAAGCCTTCTGCCAGTATTAGAGGGTTACTGATATCTAGTCTAAAGAAACAGCAAGGATGTGGATGCCTACCCTGTGGCAAAACTCATACAGAATTCAGAAGTGGCATACTACAACTTTTGAACAGAAGTGATTACATAGTTCCTAAAAGAAAGATGGCAAATACAGCCTCCAATGGGGGAGTTCACTTTGGCTTATCAAAGAAGTTTACACCTCCAAATTAACCCAGGTTAGTTGAACAGAAAAGTTCATTCCAGAGGTCACTTCAGTCATCTGGGTTCAGAACACAAAAAAAATATCTGAAATCATACAGTGAAAATCTAGAAGCGCACAGACATTAAGAATGAGGCAGGCCACAGTAGCCTAAAATATCATGTGAGAAACAGGTAAGAAACCAAAGCTTCTGATTACACAAAGACACTCACATGGAAAAGGTGATAATTTGTAAGAAAGGAGTTCGCTATTGCTGTACTGCAATTCAAGTAGAATACACTGCAACTAGGAATCACACAGTGAAACTTTTCAGTGTTTTAAGTAAAAAAGTTTACAGCTGTTTTTAAGTGCAAAATAAATACAATTCCCTGTTTCAAAGCATAATGTAACTGAACTGAAAGCAGTTTGTGGTATTTCTGTACTATAATGGCATACTCCAAATTGCCTTCAATGACTCTTAAAGATCAGTGCCTCAGAGCACTAGATGTCTCAGATAGCAACACAAATCACTCATCTGCTCTAAATTCTTTTAAGATGGTCTTAAAAAAAACTCACCAACTGCCTCCCCCAAAAGAACCACTCATACAGATAACAAAAATTGCACTCTTATTCAGTTCTAACTGCTCCCATTCCAGATGATAGCTTACCTTGGACTTGACAGACTGATTGCAGCTCCCTTATCTAAGCACCCTGACCCTGCCATAAGATGTCAATGACTTGTAAAGCAGCCGCTGAGCTAAACCTAGTCACAGCTGCACAATCAAAAGACTAAACTACGTGCTAGCCCACCTGGTCAGGCAAATTAGCCTGTGGTAATTTTGCTGTTGCTCAGTGCACAGCGGAACTGGCCCTTTAACAGGAGTGGGAATTTCCCAAGCACAGCAGGAACTACTTCCTCGACTGCCTCCCCCACTAAGGAAATGGAGCCCTCAACTTCAGGCAGATCCTGCAGTTTTCAGTCAGCTTCCTGGAATAAGTCAGTAACAACATGCCAGCACACACAGGACGAATCTCAGCTCAACGCTAGGAAAAGACAGCTTAGAAAAGGAGGAAGGGAGAAGTTTCATTGTGGAAAGGGGAGAAGATGACAAGAAGACAATACAAGAATGCAATGCAATCATGGAGGCAAATGATGTATAGGTCAGGTTGCTAGTACTTGTATGATTTTGATAACGAGAAAAAAAAAAACAAACAGAGTCAACAGTCAACTACTTAATTTAGTTAAAAAGGCACATGAGGGAACACACAAATTGCAACACACCTAAAACACAAGTCTGGTGTCACCTTTTTCCAAACCATTTGCTCACATCTAAAAAAGACTGCATTTGCCTTCAAAATTAGCCCACAAAATTGACACTGGCAGTAAACAAAACACAGATTTTATGAGGTGTTTACACAAGCAAGTTAGAAAAACTAGCCTATTAATAGACTGCACATTTACCCAGGATTAATACTACATACTAAATTAAGAACTTAAGCTCTGTGCATTATTCAATACTCTCGAAGTACATGGATACTGTTTGAGAGAAGTCTAACGTGTGCATTCTATTAAATATACTTGTGTATTAGGATCAACTAGTAAATTCCAGCCAGTTCTGCTTTGATTAGAGTATCTTAGCTATGCAATACAAAGTAATGACTTCATCCTTGTTTTGGGATCATTTATACCAATTTGTATTTTTCCTTCTGGCAACAGGAGTCCAATTCAGGTTCCAATCAGTCTTAAGCACACACATCCCACTGAAAGTCAATAAAGGGATTTTAGTTTGAATAGGCTATTTCTTCACAAGCAGGTTATGAACTGGAGTTCTTTTGCTTTCTTTTCTAAAAAGAATTTTTAATAAATCAGGAAACTGTTTAGCATAGAGAAGACATGACAGTTTTTAAACATGTGCACAGCAGCCATGTAGACAGCAAGGAATGTATCTACAACAAAATATACTGTAAAGATTACCCTAAAAATTGATAACCTTCTTTTTACCTTCCTCCCTCATGTTTAAATCAAACTATTACCATTTTGAATCTCTTATACTATGAAGTTGGCCAAACTATAAATGCATCTTCTTCAGTGTAAAATAAATAAAATCAAATATCGATTTAACTTTTTAAGGTAAAAATCAAGAAACTATAAAACCCCGAGATTCATGCTGATCAGAAGCTCATTATCGAAATCCTGCTCAGATGAAAATTTGATTCCTCCGTATCAGTTTATGATCTTCGCTATAAAGATTACTGTACAGGTCGTCAGAACTTTCTCAAACAGCAAGAATTAACAATTCTCAAGTTGCTTTTCACCCTAGTTCCAAATAAAGAAAATTACAATGTCTGTCGACAGTCACAAGCTACAAACAGATTTACAAGTCACTAGATACATAGCTATAAATCTAATGAAGTATCGTCACGCACTGAGATAATTTACTAGAAAATGCTACATGCTAGATTATTGCAAAGTATATTTTTAAAAATCTACTCTGATCACAGCAGTCATGAACTCACTTAACCAATAATCAAGACTAGTCCAGACATGTAACTACAGGAGCAGACACTACTACTCAACTTAGACTGTTGTCATATATTGTCAGAAAATGATAATGCATCGCTTTAAATTTATTTACAGGAAGATCTAGAACTGTTGAAACACTAAGAACTACTATTCCAAAAAAAAAAAAAAAACCCAAAAAACCAAAAAAAAAACCCCCAACAAAAAAAGCATCTCTGAAAATGCTGTTCTGTCCATTACATTGTCTTTACTACTATAACAACTGTACTTTGATAACTGTTGGTATCTTTTAGAGTGTCTTGCGTAATTCCTGCTACCAAAGAAAACGGTGTGGGAGGTAGGTAAAAAAAAAAAAAAAAGGGATGTTAGCCATGCAATGACCTTTTAAAAATTTATACTAAAAAAACATGATCTAAGTTTTGAATAACTCATTTCACGAGGGCATCACTTCCAGAAACATCTAAGGAAGGACAGATCACTATGATCAGTTTTCAAACTGGAGTGCATGGGGCATTTAATGATAGATTACTAGATATCCAAACCCATACAAGATTTAGAACAAGACGTAAACATATTTTGTATGCAACACTGTGTATTTACTATGAACCAAGTGCCTACTACGCTTGCACTTGACGGCAATCTTCCATTTCTTTCACTTGGCCTAACACGAATGAACTATGGTTACTTCCTACTTGCTTTTAGGAATAACATCTGAATTACGCAGCAAAACATTAAGGCAACAGACACAAAGCTAAACCCAGTTCCTTTTCTGGGTAGAATGAGGAAAGATTGTACCTTCAGACATACACACTTACCATCACTCTCTGCCCTGACTAGCAGGGACATGCCCTTCAGCCTCTCCACGTAGCAAGAGGACACATGCCCTGTGCCTCGATCATCCCACTGGCGGTCCTCATTTAGCGTGTAAACCT